GGCCAATTGGATAGATCGGTAGAATTATTTTCCCAGGTTTAAAAAGGCGGTAATTTGAGGTTCCGATATGGTTGTGAATAACTTTGACAGTTTTCATGCTATGACAGTCATTTATGCTTCATTTTAAAGCATTGTGATTGCACTTTAATATGGTATATAATTTGTGGCATAATGTGTTCGTCTAAAAAATGGTCAATTTGATGGATCGGTAGAATTATTGTTCTATGTTTAAAAACGCGGTAATTTGAGGTTCCGATATGGTTGCAAATAACTTTTCATGCTAGGGCAATAGTTTATGCATCATTTTAAAGCATTACAGTTGCACTTTATTTTGGTGTATAATTTGTGGCATAATGAATTTTTACAAAATTTGGACAGATCGGTATATTTATTGGTACAGGTTTAAAAATGCGGTAATTCAAGGCTCCGATATGGTTGCAAATAACTTTTATAGTTTTAATGTTATAAAAGTCGTTTATATATCTTTTTATTGCATTATAGTTGCCATTTGTTTTGGTATATAATTTATTGCATAATATATTTTTAGAAAATTGCCAATTGGATAGATCGGTAGAATTATTTTCACAGCTTTAAAAAGGCGGTAATTTGAGGTTCCGATATGGTTGCAAATAACATTAACAGTTTTCATGCTATGACAGTCATTTATGCTTCATTTTAAAGCATTGTGATTGCACTTTAATATGGTATATAATTTGTAGCATAATGTGTGTTTTAACTAATTGGTGAATTTGATAGATCGGTAGAATTATTGTTCTATGTTTAATAAACGCGGTAATCTGAGGTTCCGATATAGCTGCAATTAACTTTGGCAGTTTTTGTGCTAGGACAGTCGTTTATGCACCATTTTAAAGCATTAAAATTGCCATTTGTTTTGGTATATAATTTATTGCATAATGTATTTTTAGAAAACGGCCAATTGGATAAATCGGTAGAATTATTTTCACAGCTTTAAAAACGCGGTAGTTTGAGGTTCCGATATAGCTGCAAATAACATTGACAGTTTTCACGCTATGACAGTCATTTATGCATCATTTTAAAGCATTATGATTGCACTTTAATATGGTATATCATTTGTAGCATAATGTGTATTTTTACAAATTGGTCAATTTGATAGATCGGTAGAATTATTGTTCTATGTTTAATAAACGCAGTAATCTGAGGTTCCGATATGGTTGCAATTAACTTTGGCAGTTTTCGTGCTAGGACAGTCGTTTATGCGCCATTTTAAAGCATTAAAATTGCCATTTGTTTTGGTATATAATTTATTGCATAATGTATTTTTAGAAAATGGCCAATTGGATAGATCGGTAGAATTATTTTCCCAGGTTTAAAAAGGCGGTAATTTGAGGTTCCGATATGGTTGTGAATAACTTTGACAGTTTTCATGCTATGACAGTCATTTATGCATCATTTTAAAGCATTATGATTGCACTTTAATTTGGTATAACATTTGTGGCACAATGTGTTCGTCTAAAAAAGGTCAATTTGAAGGATCGGTAGAATTATTGTTCTATGTTTAAAAACGCGGTAATTTGAGGTTCCGATATGGTTGCAAATAACTTTGACAGTTTTCATGCTAGGGCAATAGTTTATGCATCATTTTAAAGCATTACAGTTGCACTTTATTTTGGTGTATAATTTGTGGCATAATGAATTTTTACAAAAGTTGGATAGATCGGTATATTTATTGGCACAGGTTTAAAAATGCGGTAATTCAAGGCTCCGATATGGTTGCAAATAACTTTTATAGTTTTCATGTTATAACAGTCGTTTATATATCTTTTTATTGCATTATAGTTGCCATTTGTTTTGGTATATAATTTATTGCATAATATATTTTTAGAAAATTGCCAATTGGATAGATCGGTAGAATTATTTTCACAGCTTTAAAAAGGCGGTAATTTGAGGTTCCTATATGGTTGCAAATAACATTGACAGTTTTCATGCTATGACAGTCATTTATGCATCATTTTAAAGCATTATGATTGCACTTTAATTTGGTATATCATTTGTGGCACAATGTGTTCGTCTAAAAAATGGTCAATTTGAAGGATCGGTAGAATTATTGTTCTATGTTTAAAAACGCGGTAATTTGAGGTTCCGATATGGTTGCAAATAACTTTGACAGTTTTCATGCTAGGGCAATAGTTTATGCATCATTTTAAAGCATTACAGTTGCACTTTATTTTGGAATATAATTTGTGGCATAATGAATTTTTACAAAAGTTGGATAGATCGGTATATTTATTGGTACAGGTTTAAAAATGCGGTAATTCAAGGCTCCGATATGGTTGCAAATAACTTTTATAGTTTTCATGTTATAACAGTCGTTTATATATCTTTTTATTGCATTATAGTTGCCATTTGTTTTGGTATATAATTTATTGCATAATATATTTTTAGAAAATTGCCAATTGGATAGATCGGTAGAATTATTTTCCCAGGTTTAAAAAGGCGGTAATTTGAGGTTCCGATATGGTTGTGAATAACATTGACAGTTTTCATGCTATGACAGTCATTTATGCATCATTTTAAAGCATTATGATTGCACTTTAATATGGTATATAATTTGTAGCATAATGTGTGTTTTTACAAATTGGTCAATTTGATAGATCGGTAGAATTATTGTTCTATGTTTAATAAAAGCAGTAATCTGAGTTTCCGATATGGTTGCAATTAACTTTGGCAGTTTTCGTGCTAGGACAGTCGTTTATGCACCATTTTAAAGCATTAAAATTGCCATTTGTTTTGGTATATAATTTATTGCATAATGTATTTTAAGAAAATGGCCAATTGGATAGATCGGTAGAATTATTTTCCCAGGTTTAAAAAGGCGGTAATTTGAGGTTCCGATATGGTTGTGAATAACTTTGACAGTTTTCATGCTATGACAGTCATTGTTCACATCAGTGAACACATAACACTGTCCATCCCTGACGTCATTTAATACCCACACATAACTGCAGCCAACTTCATCTACATATGAACGTCAGCTGCAGCTTTGGCCTTCATCTTTAACTTACTTCTATTCTAATCCACCTGTGAGAAGAACAAAAAGTGTGTGCGCTAAACGAACCTACAAACAAAACAACAAACCAAACAACAGCAAATTAAAAGTTTGTAAATAAATAAATAAATTATAAACCTAACCCTAAATAAAAACTAGTGATAAAACTTATAATTAGTGATAAACCCTAAAACTAAAAATAAATACTAAATCTAGTGGAAATCTTAATTTTCTTAATTTATATCACAGTTTGTATATCACAGTTAAACCAATTAAAATTTATATCTAAAACTTATATCTATTGTTAAAGGAATTAAATGATTGTGAAAACCCTAAACCAATATTAAAACATTAAAACCCTAAAACCTTTAAAAATACTTACAACTAAAATAAAATCTGAATTTATAACCTAAAAATACTTACCCTACTATACCTACCCTATATACTTACCTTATATACTTACCCAAAAGATCAATAAACACATAAGTATTATAACGTTTTATGAAAATATCCCAAGCCTTTCTTATTTACCCTTAATCCTAATTCCCGCGTAAGTACCCATCTACCCATCTCCCTCTAACCCTAAATTAAACATTGGTCCAATCGAGCCTTTAAAAAAGAAACGGCTATATTGATAAAATACAGTCCACAAAAATAAAGCTGAAAAGAAAGTAAGCTTAAAAAAAAATAAAAAGTGTGAAGAAAGTGAAAAGTGTTGAAAGTAAGCAAAAGCAAGTGTATGTAAAAAAATAAAAACCCACCCTTAAAAATAAAACTAAAAAATAAAAAAAAAAAGAGAATAAACAATTAAAAATACCCTACAAACTAAAACATAAATAATATAAATTATATTTAAAATAATAAAATTGTGTATAAAAAAAAAACAATTGTAAAAAACAGAAAGTGTGCAAAAAAGAAAACAAATAGTTACAATAAACAAAAAGTTAAAAACGATAGCAAAAATTACAACAAATTTCAAGTAAACATTAAACACAAAAAACAATTTCCACAACATAAAAACTAAAAAAAAAAGATAAAAAATACATTACAAATAAAAACAAATATTTTTAACAAGAACATACATCAAAAAAAAAAAAAAATAAATACAGTGAAACACAAAATATTAATCTAAAAAGAAAAAAAATTACCCACATACCCTAATACCTATTTGTTTAAAAAAAAATAAATAAATAAACATATAAAAACTACAAAAACAGATATTATTAATACATAATTATTTAACAAATTAACAAAAATTTAAAAAAAAATATACACGCAAATTCATTAAAACAAAAATAAATAACAACTACACATATTGAAAATAATACAAAACTTACAAAAGAAAAACACACACTGTACATATTTTTGAAAATATTAAAAAAAAAAAACATTAATACACAAAAATAAACAAGAAATAAAACACACACAAAACATATACACACGCTTAAACATACATACCAGACCCAGCTTACATATTACAACAGCAACACTACACACAAGATCAACACACATCATAGCGGGAAGAAGGTGTAAAGAAGAATCGACAACACAAGAGATTTTTTTTGGTTTATCTCTTGTGAAGGTTTGTACCCTACCCCCAGCAAACAAGGTAAGTGTATTTTTTACAACTTACTAATAAAATTTAAATTTCCATTTTTTTTTGTATTATATTAGTTTTATTTGTCAAGCAATATAATATAAAAATATTTTCTATTCAAAACCCACTCACCCACCCACCCTATTAAAAACTTTTTTGGAAATATTTTTATATATTGCTTGATTAAGCTAATATTACCACCCGAATTGTGTAGCGACCCATACACACATAAAATACCCTGTCGGAAATTTAAGTTTGCTGTTACAAATTTTTTGTAGATTTTTAAATTAAATTAACCCAATATGTCCGATTTAAAATCTTTGGCCGCCACTTTAATGCGATATATCCAAATGGATTTGGAGTCTTTTGAGGAAGATTATCGCTCCTCTCCGGAAAGTTTTCAATCGCTACCCGCACTCAAATTCAAAAAACGTGAATTAAGTGATTTATGGTCTAAAATTGACCATAAATTCACTCAAATTAGAGAATCCGCAGATTTACTCGATCCAAAGAAGGCTGAAACAATCAATTTAACGGAAGTTGTGCATCATTTTAGATCTGCCAGAAATTTTTATAGAACTAGTATGATCTCAATAGATGAATCTATTGAAGAGATTACTAAGGCCAATGATACCCGAGCCTCATTACCCGAACCCCCACAACCCAACAATTCCGTAGCCTTCAATGTACCTCCATGCGATATGCCTACATTTAATGGAGATTTTAAATCTTGGGCTTCTTTCCGGGATCTTTTTAAAGCCATATATGGTAACAACACACGCTTAAGTGGAGTTGAAAAACTCTTCTATCTTAAGCAAAAAACGAGCGGCGAAGCCAAAGAAATCGTTGACAACGCACCCCTAACTAATGATGGCTTTCTCATTGCGTGGACCCAACTCGTCTCTCAATTTGAAAATAGACGAATGCAAATCAATGCGCAATTGAAAACACTTTTTAATTTACCCACAGTAAGCACCATGTGCAGTGCTTCTATAAGAAAGCTTCAGAGAAAGATTAATTGTTGTATTGCTAATTTAAATTCATTAGAAATTGATACGGATAATTGGGATCCTATCTTTGTATATCTTTGCTTATCAAAATTACCCAAAGAAACCCGAAGAGAGTTTGAGAAAACTCTCAATGATAGCGCTGAAATGCCGCCATGGACGAATCTTGATGTGTTCTTAACGAACACTTTTAAGGAACTTACATCAGTAAACGATGTTCCAGATTCGAATCCTAATACCCACCCTAACACCCACCCTAAAACCAAACAATTTACTGAAACAAAATATAACCCTGACAGAAGAGCCAAAGCGTTTCACAATGTAACCCATTCTTCAAAGAAACCCCACCCAAACCCCAAACCTCAAAATGAACAAAAATTCTCTAACCCAAACCATATACCCAATTCAAATACCCAAAAGAATGCAAATGCCCAAAATACCCAAAAGAAACCAAATACCCAAAACACCCAAACTAAACTCTATGGGTCCATTTGCAAACTTTGTGAAAAGAATCACACCCTAAGAGAATGTTCTTCATTTAATTCTTTAGGATTAAACCAAAGAATTGAATTTGTAAATGAGAATGGAATTTGTTACAATTGTTTAGCTACTGGACATGTCATAAAAGATTGTTATAGCGCATTTAAGTGTAGATATTGCGGCGGTAAACATAATTCGCTTTTACACAAGCCGAACTCTAACCCTAACCCACATGTTGAAAATACTCAGGCGTCAACATCACAAAACGCAGTACAGTCTTTCTCAACCCACACCCAATCAAGCAAACCCATACCCATAGATGACAGAACAAAGTTATTAGGAACTGCAGTTCTGAATGTTGAAGTTCAAGGTGAATTATTTCCAGCTAGAGCGCTTATTGACCCAGCTTCAGACTTCTCGTTTATCACAGATAAACTGAGAAGGAAGCTAAAATTACCCACTACACCCATAGTTGCTGAAATTTCAGGATTAAACGAAATAGTTTCAGCTCGTTCAAATAAACTGTGTCAAGTTTTATTGCGCTCAAACACCCAAAACGATTTTAAATTGAATATCCAAGCTATTGTTGTAAAAACATTAACCAAAAACTTACCCACCCAAAACTTAAACCCCACCCTAATACAAGACTTGGAAAATATTCAATTAGCTGACCAAAGGTTCTATGAAAGCCGACCTATCGACTTTATTATTGGCAGCGATTTTTACCCACAGATTCTAAAATCTGGAGTCAGAAAAGACTTACTTAATACCCTTATAGCTCAGGAAAACTGAGTTTGGCTGGATTTTAACAGGACCCGTTCAGAATTCGCAAAATACCCAACCCTTAGTTTCTTACTTCGGTTCAGTCACGCTTGATAAAGTTTTGACCAAGTTCTGGGAAATTGAAGATGTACCCACCCAACCCAAAGTTTCAGAAGAAAGTTCTTTATGTGAAGAAACTTTCAAGACCACTACTCCTTCGATTACCAAATGGCCGTTATCAGGTAAATTTACCATTTATATACCCTCCTGTTGAGTTAGGAAACTCTAGACACGTTGCTATGGCTCAATTTCTACGTAACGAGAACAGTTTAATGAAAAAGCCAGAGCTTAAAATGGAATATGATAACGTGCTACAAGAGTATATCGATTTAGGTCATATGAAACCAATTAAATATAACCCAAACACTCCTTCAAACACCCATTATTATTTACCCCATCACGCTGTTGTTAAACTTGATCGTGTTACGACAAAAGTTCGAGTTGTATTTAATGCATCTAGCAAAACCTCGAACAGCAACAGTCTTAATGATACCCTACACACTGGTCCTACCCTACAACAAGATTTAGTTGTACTTATCTTGAAATGGCGCTTTTACAAGATAGTTTATAATGCCGACATTACAAAAATGTACCGGCAAATTATGCTAAACCCTACCCACACACCCTTCCAACGGATATTATTCCGTAAAAGCGTCAACGAACCCATTCAAGATTATGAACTGCAAACAGTTACATTTGGTGTTAACTGTGCGCCATATTTGGCTATTAGAACCCTACACAAATTAGCCGATGACATTCAAAATACCCACCCTATAGCTTCGCAAATATTGCGAAACAACATGTATGTTGATGATGTCTTAGCCGGAGGTCACACAATTGAAGAAGCTCAAAAAGCTCAAACCCAATTGATCGCGGCTCTAGACTCTGCTGGTTTTCCTTTGAAGAAAATGGATTTCCAATACAAAGGAATTATTACACAATTTACCCGAAGAACATCTACTAGATGTTGATTTACTCACCCTACCCGAATCAAATAATGCTAAAACGTTAGGCATTCGTTGGAATGCTAAAGAAGATACGTTTTTCTTTAATGTACCCTTAATTGAAAGAAAATCAGCATACACAAGCGAACTGTGTTATCAGACATTGCTCGTCTTTTTGACCCAGCTGGTTGGTTAGCGCCAATTGTTATATCTGCCAAGATTATTATGCAGCAAATTTGGCAAGATAATACAGCTTGGGATGAATGTCTTAACCCACTCACCCTTATAAAATGGCAAAAGTTTTTGCAGTTCTACGATAATATTAATAGAATTCGTATTCCAAGATGGATTAACTTTTCACCTTCAGCAAAAATTGAGTTTCATGGTTTTTCAGATGCTTCTGAAAAGGCATACTCTGCATGTCTATATGCACGAGTAACACCCATAGACGGACCTAATTCCGTAACCCTACTCTTCGCTAAGACGAGAGTTGCGCCAATCAAAGTAATCTCGTTACCAAAACTTGAACTTTGTGGTGCAGTGTTGTTGGCAAATATGACACACAATGTACTCACCCAACTCAACCTACCCTTACATCAGACGTATTTCTGGACCGACTCATCTATAGTTTTGGCCTGGCTTAGTAAACACCCTAACTCGTGGAATACATTTGTGGCAAACAGAGTTTCAACAATTCTACAAACAGTAGGAGTAGATAACTGGAATCATGTTGCTTCACACGATAATCCTGCCGATGTTGCTAGTCGAGGATGTAATGCTGATGAGTTAAAAGATGACACTTTATGGTGGAATGGACCATCGTGGTTGAAAGAAGTCGCGTCGAAGTGGCCAACAACAAATAAACACTTTATTACTCAAGCTGAAGCTAAAGTTAGTCTGTCGTTTGCTACGACAGTTAATACCCACCCTACCTTAGATACGAATACTGAAAACCCGGATATATTATCAAGATTTTCGAAATTGTCAAAAGCTCTAAGAGTAATGACATATGTCTATCGATTTTGTGATCGCGCATCATATACCCGAAGAAATACAATTCGAAATGATAGAGTTATTCTTGATCGAAATAACCCACAACTAGCCAATGATAGACTACGTTTATTAACTACCCACCCAAGTATTGAACTTGATGCGTCAGAGATCAAATCTACCCGTGATAGACTTATTATTCTTTGTCAGACAGAATATTTTAACAACGAATATAACTGTTTGAAGAGAAAATACCCTGTACCCAACAAAAGTGACCTGCTTACCCTAACGCCATTCTTAGATTCCGCAAAGATAATGCGTGCAAATGGTAGACTAGCAAATTCCAACAGTTTGTCCTATTCCGAAAGACACCCTATATTAGTACCCTATAAAAGTGCATTTGCTAAATTACTAGTACAACACGTCCACCTGGTAACCCTGCATGGTGGAAATCAACTTATGTTGAGAATAATCCGATCAGGATATTGGATTCCCAAACTTAAGAATCTGATTAGTAGTGTTATTAACAAATGCTCACCCTGCATAAGATATAGGAATAGACAGACAACCCAATTTATGGCGGCGTTGCCACCAGAAAGAACCCAAATAGATAAAGCTTTTACAAATGTTGGCGCTGATTTTGCAGGACCATTTGACAGAACTTGTAAAATAACGAAAGGTTACGTCTGTGTTTTTGTTTGCTTTGCAACAAAGTCCATCCACTTGGAGCCAACATCTGATTTGTCTACCCAAGCCTTTATGGCAGCCTTCGCTCGATTTTTTTCGAGGCGGGGATGCCCTGTCGCCATTTACTCTGACAATGGAACAAATTTCATAGGTGCTAGCAAGTTATTGAAAAAGGAGCGACAGGAATTTATTAAACAGCTAAAAGGATCTGTTACGTCCACTAGCAGTTTTCAGAATTTGACGTGGCATTTTATACCCCCAGGTGCACCACACATGGGCGGTTTATGGGAGGCAGGAGTTAAAAGCTTTAAAGCTCATTTGAAGAAAATAAATACCCTAAAATATACATTTGAAGAGCTAGCTACACTCCTTGCCAGAATAGAAGGATGCCCAAACTCGAGACCCTTAAGCCCGTCAAGTGAAAACCCTCAGGATCTTAACCCGTTAACCCCTGGACACTTTTTAATTGGCTCACCCATACTTACCCCTGCAGAACCCGACACAAGCAGTGATAATATAACCCTGGCTAACAGATGGCAAAAATTAAAGATACAACATCACAACTTTTGTAAAAGATGGAAAGATGAATATCTTAAAGAGCTCCATAAAAAATATAAGTGGAAAAACCCTACCCGAGAAGTTGAAATAGGTGATATTGTAGTAATTAGACAAGACAATTTAGCACCCAATGAATGGTTACTTGGACGTGTGACTAAAACATACCCTGGTTCTGATGGTAGAAGTAGAGTAGTTGATTTACAAATTTCAACTGGAACTCTAACACGACCAATCACTAAAATTGTTGTTTTACCCGCTAATTAGTCTAACACTTTTACTCAAACCCTAACCCAAAATAACAATATCATCACTAACTAGCTCAACTAACCACCCTAACTAACCCAAATTTATTATGAATCGTTTAACCCTTCACCCTAACCCACTAACACATTCATTACACTTCATTCATTCACACATAATTTCTTTTATACAGAATATGGCACCCAACAACAACAATCGTAAAGGACGTTCCAACCGTTCCAGCCGCAATGGATCTCGGCCCAAACCCAACCGCAAAAACGATAAACGTCAACCAAAACGCCATTTTGGTTGCGGTATTTGTCAAGCCGATCACAGCTTAACAAATTGTCGAAAGTTCCAAAAGATGAACTGGGCGGAGAAATACAAAACCGCAGTTAAATTGCACTACTGCGTCAATTGTTTGGCGAGGAACCATCTCATTGGCGGTTGCACGAGTAAGGCTCGTTGCCAACAATGTGGTGGTAAACACCACTCCACCCTGCATGGTCCAAATAGGATTTTAAAGAATTTGACCCAGGACCAATCCCCTCCACCAACTCCGGCACCAAGAACTCCACCCACACCAGCTCCAAGACGATCATTAGACATCGTGAAAGTTACAACACCGATAACAACGTCGATGATGAAAACTTTTGCTCCTACAGCAGTTGTGCAGGTAGGAAGTCGGCGGGCAAGTGCAATACTAAATTCTAGCTTGACTAAGTCTAGAATAGCAGCCGTCTTTGTTAGTGAAAGTTCCCTAGCTCCCTTCAAAATCGACAAAGAGGTGTTTGTGAAGGTGTTAATTGCACCAAATTATTCCTCAAGCCTCCGATACGAGGTTTGTATGGATGTGGTTAAGGATCTGCCAAAAACCCTATATCCAAGCCCCATGGACGAAACAATTAAAAGTAAATTGTGTCGCATATCGCTGGTTGACCCGGAGTTTTACTCCAACAACCCAGTCTCCATGGAAATTGGTGGAGACCTTTACACAAGCATTCTACAACCGAATGTGATTCACATTGACGGGGGATCACTTATAGCCCAGGATTCACCCTTGGCTGTCTGGTCATGGGATCATCTACCCAATAAACCCGCACACAATGAAGTTGCCAGGCCCGGGAGGATGTTCACATCAGTGAACACATAACACTGTCCATCCCTGACGTCATTTAATACCCACACATAACTGCAGCCAACTTCATCTACATATGAACGTCAGCTGCAGCTTTGGCCTTCATCTTTAACTTACTTCTAATCCACCTGTGAGAAGAACAAAAAGTGTGTGAGCTACAACAAACAGAAAAATAAAACATCAAAATTCACAATATAAAAATAAACTTAAAAGTTTTTATATAAATACATTTTAAACTTAAACCTAAATAAAAACAAGTTAGATTGCTATATTCGGCACTGCCGAATCTTAAATACCCTCCACCTGCAAACTACTTTTTATTAAAACCCAAAATAAATATGTTATAGGGCCGAATTTATAGTTTATACTAAAGAAATTAATTTTACTTAAGTATTAAAGTACATACTAAGTACTTAAGTACTTTATTTTCCTTATGGAGAACTGTAAAACCCGGCACATGTTTTGTTTCCGTAATTAAGATACTATTTATCATTTTGTAACTTATTTATGCATGTATGTATGTAACTAATTTTGATTAGGACAAGAAACATTTGTATTAAGTGATTTTCAGATATCGACCGATTATTCTTCGACCTATTATGTTCCGATCCTGCCAATAACTTATATGGGAACTATGACCAATAATGTACCAATTCGAAAAAAAAAAAAATTCAAAATGATTTATCTATACACAGAACATACTCATGTCGAGTTTAATAATAAATCATGTGGTATTATGTGGTTTTCAGAAGTGAACCTTATATGGGAGCTAGTTATGGACCGATGCTGAAAAAATTTCTTATATGGAATGTAACCAATTATGGACCGATGTGGAAATTTTTCACGAATGATTTACATATACAAAACAAATTCACGTCGAGTTTTACCCTGATAGCTTCATTTATCAATGAATTATGCGCATTTAAGTGATTTTCGGATGTGGACCTTATATGTGAGCTATGACCAATTATGGACCGATCCGAAAAAAAAATTCGTAAAATAATTAATATTTATACACAAAACATATTCACATCGAATTTTATCCTGATAGCTTTATTTATCAATGAATTAAGCTTGTTTAAGCGATTTTAGGATGTGGACCTTATATGGGAGCTAGTACCAATTGTGAACTGATCCGGAAAAAATTTCACTGAATGATTTATATCTATATACAGAACATATTCACCTCGGGTTCTACCCTGATAGCTTTATTAATCAATGAATTATGCGCATTTGAGTGATTTTCGGATGTGGACCTTATATGGGAGCTATGACCGATTATGGACCGATCCGGAACAAATTTCGTAGAGTAATTCATATACACACAAAACACATTCATGTCGAATTTTATCCAGATAGCTTTATTTATCTATGAATTATGCTCGTTTAAGTGATTTTCGGATGTGAACCTTAT